AAGTACCTCAACATAATAAAGGCAATTTATGACAAACCCAAAGCCAACAGCATACTCCACAGGGTAAAACTGAAAGCCACCCCTCTGAGAACAGGAACAAGACAAGGGTGCCCACTCACACCACTCATATTCAACATAGTATCCTGGTTTTGGCCAGAGCAATTAGGCAAAAAAAAGGAATAAAAGGAATCCAAATAAGAAAGGAAGAAGTGCAACTCTCACTGTTTGCAGATAACATGAGTTTATATATAGAAAACCCTAAAGAACCCATTGGAAAACTATTAGAAATAATCAACAACTACAGCAAAGTTGCAGAGTACAAAATCGACTTACAAAAATCAGTTGCATTTCTATACTCTAATAACGAACTAACAGAAACAGAGCTCAAGAATACAATCGCATTTACAATCACAACAAAAAAGATAAAATATCTACCAATAAATTTAACCAAGGAGGTAGAAGACCTATACAATGAAAACTCTTAAAGACATTATTGAAAGAAATCGATGATAACATAAACAAATGGAACGATAGCACATGCACAAGAGTGGAAGAATAAACAATTAAAATGCCCATACTACCTAAAGCAATCTACAGATTCAATGCAATCCCAATCACGTTCTTCATGGAAATAGAACAAAAAATCCTAAAATTCATATGGGGCAACAATAGACCCCAAATAGCTAAAGCAATCTTGAGAAAAAAGAACAAAGGTGGGGGCATCACAATCCGTGACTTCAAAATACACTACAAAGCTATAATAATTAAAACAGCATGGTAGTGGTACAAAAACAGACACACAGATCAATGGAACAGAAGTGAAAGCCCAGAAACAGAACCACACATCTAGGGACAATTAACATTCGACAAAGGAGCTAATAACATACAAGGGAGAAAGGAAAATCTCTTCAATAAATGGTGCTGTGGGTCAGCCTGGTGGTGTAGTGGTTAAGTTTGCACGCTCCACTTTGGCAGCCCAGGGTTCGCAGGTTCTGATCCCAGGCATGGATCTATGCACCGCTTATCAAGCCATGCTGTGGCAGGCATCCCACATATAAAGCAAAAGATGGGCATGGATGTTAGCCCAGGGCCAATCTTCCTTAGCAAAAAGAGGAGGACTGGCAACAGGTGTTAGCCAGGGCTAACCTTCCTTACAAAAAAAAAAAAAAAAGGTGCTGTGAAAACTGGACAGCCATATGCGAAAGAAAGTAGACCATTATCTTTCACAATACAGAAATATTAACTCAAAATGGATCAGACTTGAAGGTAAGACGTGAAACTATAAAACTCCTGGAAGAAAATATACGCAGCACACTCTTTAAAATTGGCCCTAGAGGAATCTTTTCGAATTCCATGTATACTCGGTCAAGGGAAACAAAAAAAAATAAATAAAAAAGTAGGACTTCATCAGACTAAAGAGCTTCTGCAAGGCAAAGGAAACCAGGATCAAAATGAAAAGACAACCCACCAGCTGAGAGAAAATATTTGCAAATGATATATCTGACAAGGGGTTAATCTTCATAATATATAAAGAACTCACACAACTGAACAAAAAAACAAACAACCAGACCAAAAAACGGGCAGAGGAAATGAACAGACACTTCTCCAATGAAGAAATACAGATGGCCAATAGGCACATGAAAAGATGTTCAGCATTACTAATTATCAGCGAAATGCAAATGAAAACTACACTAAGATATCACCTTACACCCGTGAGAATGACTATAATCACCAAGACAAAAAATAACAAATGTTGGAGGGGTTGTGGAGAAAAGGGAATCCTCACACACTGCTGGTGGGAATGCAAACTGATGCCGCTTCTATGGAAAATCCAAATTTTTGAGATTCCTCAAAAAATTAAAAATAGAAATACCATATGATCCAGCTATCCCACTACTGGGTATTTATCCAAAGAACTTGAAATCAACAAGCCAAAGAGACGTATGCACCCCTATGTTCACTGCAGCATTATTCACTATAGCAAAGTGGAAGCAAACCAAGTGTCCATTGACTGACGATTGGATGAAGATGATGTTAGGTATATATATACAATCCAATACTACCCAGCCATAAAAAAAGACAAAAATCGTCTCATTCACAACAACATGGATGGACCTTGAGAGTATTATGTTAAGCAAACTAAGCTAGACAGAGAAAGACAAACACTGTATGATTTCACTCATATGTGGAAAATAAACTAACACACGGACAGAGAGAACAGTTTGGTGGTTACCAGGGGGAAGGGGGTTGGGGGTGGGCACAAGAGGTGAAGGGACGCATTTATATGGTGACTGACAAATAATAATGTAGAACTGAAATTTCAAAATGTTATAAACTATTATGACCTCAATAAAAAAAAAAGGAAAAAAGAAAACCTTGTTTGTAATAAATTTTCATTATCCTAGTTTTCTCTTCTATTAACTTTCTGTTGTATGTTTAGTGGTTACTGTAGAGATTAAATATGCTTCCTTGACATCATTATTAACGTCTATCTTACAGTAGAACTTTTACCATTTCTTGAGGAACAAATCTTATGATTTAAATCACTTACCTCCTTCTTCCTCTTGTGTTATTTTTGTAATTTTACTTCCATATTTTAAACCCCACAAAACTTCGCTTTTAGTCATGTATTTACCCCCAAATTCAGTGCTATACTGTTTTCATTACACAAATTAACTTTAATCTGCTTAAGCAAGCCTTCTCTCACAAATCTTCTCTTCCCATCAAGTACGCCTTTCTAATCTATTCTCCAAGAAGCAGCCAAATTTGTTTATATTAAAACTAACTACTTCAAACCTTTCATTATTCTCCAACTGGTAGAATACAATTCAAATTCCTTTCTACGCCTCTAAGTCTTGCCTGATAAGGCCTCTACCTCAACTTTATCTTATGCCATTTTCTCATTAAGCTGTACACCAGCTTCAGACTCAAGCAACTCTGGCACAGATGTTTTAAGAATTATGCTCACAAGGATAATTTGCCTGACTTTTAGGTCTCCTACTCACCACCCTATCTAATGTAGTTTACACCCACCCCTACTTTTTATTTTTTTCGTAGTATTAAGCAAAATTTGTAATTTTATTATAAATACTTGCTTCAATGTAACATCCAGTAGAATACTTTGCCGTTTCACCATTTAATCAACTAGTTCACTGCTTAGCATGCAGTAGACTCAACAAACATTTGTTAATTGAATAAAAATAATTCTTTAGTATGTTCTAAATGTTAATACTGCCAATTACCCGCTAAAAGGCCTGTATTAACTCATTAAACGATGAAAAAAAGATTTGACAATAATGAAGACACCATACTGATTCCAAAAGCCCCAGCAAATACAATCAATATGGCACTGACACGCAACGCACTGATTTGCCAAAAATGTTCAGTGTGTTAAATATGTCTTTGTAATCCCTGAAACTTTTTACTATCTAAATTACCTATAATAAATTTTGACATTTCCTTTTCTTCCCCACTTCCTGACATATGAATTCTTTCAAACGTAGAGGCATCAGAGGTTTGCTACTTTCCAATTGGTTTACCAAACTCACAGCTCCAACATGTTGTATTTCCCATGCCAGTCATCATTTGCTTCAAAACGTAGTTTATCATGGGTCAGGTACCTGCCTTAGTTAGACCTTGATAGACATTGCTTTATGAAAAGCCTGAATTCAAACCCATTTCTATCACCAATTTAGGGAAAATATAAAAATATAACTATTACAAGTGAAATGTCCCAATCTTCTCTCAGCACTTCCCCATCCTAGGGTTTTAGTACTCCAGGTTCTGCAGCACCAGGTACATAGCCTGAGAAGTACTGATGCGGTCTTCATCGATGGTAGAGAATGAACTAACCACTTTTTGACCTTTCCTTTTTGGTGATTCTAATGATTCTAATCAATAACAATGACAATTTTAAGTGTGATATAGGGCCAATACAATCTTGCAGTTGCAACCCACCATATCAAAGGTGCAAATATTTCCTATTCTCTGATCACGGTCACTAGTATAATATTAAAATTTTTCTTGAGCTCTAATAGCCACATCTTTCAAACTACAAGTATATAGATGATTTATTTTCCCTGCTCAAAATTCTGATTTGTCGAAAAGGCAACATTTTTAGCAGGTTTGAGCTGGTAGATTACAGAGGTAATAATGTCATTAAGGATTAATATAATATGCATGTTCCTCCTAAAAGCTAGTGCTATGTATATATAAGTCCACGTAAATGCCCAAATCATTTTTGCCAATATAATGTACTCCACTGGTGTAGTTATCAAGCAATAATATATTCAACGCTATTTTCTTCTATAAAAGCTTTTAAAGCCTTAATACAACTATACTCACTAAATTTGGTTATAACTAAACCAAATATGCATAATATGCCTATTGTTCTAAAGACCTAAGTAGATTTATGACAGTATTTTAATACACACTGAACCATTTTGAACTCTATTATCTGCTGCTACACCAGAATAGCGAGGCTAACTACTTTGTAATTCATTGCTGATTTTGCAAACGATGCACCCCATTGCACTTAGTTCAAGGGTCACACACTCTAAAGGAACTCAACTTACCAATTCATAGTGAAGTTACTTAGGTTAATATTGTTGCAGAGGCATGTTATGAATAAATTAAAAGTTGACCGAAAGTCTTACTTCCAGTGTAATAACTTTTAGTGCTTCTGTCCTTGGTGATATAAAAAGAATCTAAAGAGATTTCAAAATGTATGCTGGTGAGGCTGACCTTTGTTTCCAACCCTATCTTAGTTGTTTGCAATAAACACAGGTTGGCATACTTTAAAAAGAACACTGAGGACAATGAACAATTTACATGCAATTTCTAGAGATTCTATACTACACTGAAGCATAGCTGGACTGATAACTCCAAACCTCTTTCAGCTTGTGAAGAAATGGAATTATTAAAGAATAGAAAAAAAAGTTTCTTCTTACGACTTAAGTTTGATAACTGGCTTTCATTCTATTCTATCTTGCAAATATGTAACTTCAGAATAAAAACTTCTCCAGCAGTCAAAAAACATTTTCCAGTAAAGAATAAGCATTTATTCTTTTTAGTATTGGGAAAAATACAATGGATCGAAACCTCTTAAAAAACTAACAGATAATTAACTGACTTCCTTGTCAAACACTGAGTGTTTGCTATAACGACAGAGACTGTTCTACAGGTTAGGAATATGGGGAAAGACAAGGCCTTTCAAGAAATTCACCTAATTCCTATGGAAACTCAAGAGGAACCAGGGATGGCATCCTAGTGGTCTGAATTGAGTCATGAAGACCAAGTGAGAAAGGGATGGCAGTGGGGTATGCAGGGCATTCTAGGCATACAAAACTTATACAACGATAAAAATCTATCACAAGTAGTTCAGCATAGCTCATGTGGCTACTGTATGCAGGCTGTGTGCCCAAGTAAGCTGGAGGTGGGGAGTGGGGGGTAGGGGAAAGGAAGGTGTGAATACTTAAAAAAAAATCCTGATCTTTTTATGACATATAAAAGGATTTTAGTTTAATTCTGCAAGCCATGGAAAGGCACTGAAAGATTTTAAGCAAAGAAATGACATGAACAGAATTGTTTGTTAACAAGACCATTCTGGTACCAAAGTGATGAAAGGATCACTGCTTGGTGATACAAATTCATTTAGCACATACTATGGAAAACCTACTATATGCCATACAGGACTGAAGGCCAGATGACCACTTAGCAGACTAATGCAATGTCTTAGTGTACACACCAAAGCAGTGACAGCAGTAACGGAGCAGTGCGGGTTTGAGGGTTAAGAGATAGATCAATTCCAGGTAAATCAGATTTTGTTTGGAGTGGAGTCACAAAAGAGAAATCTAAGAGGATACCCAAGTTACTGATAATGCTGTTTATCGATGTGAAATATAATACTGGTTTTGGTGAACAGATAGTTTGAGAATTTAGCTATGGTGAAACTGACTGACATTTAAAGGGAGATACAGGGCCGGCCCTGTGGCGCAGTGGTTAAGTGCATGCACTCCATTGCTGGCAGCCCGGGTTCGGATCCTGGCCACGCACCAATGGACTACTTGTCAGGCCATGCTGTGTCGGTGTGCCACATAAAGTAGAGGAAGATGGGCACGGATGTTAGCCCAGGGCCAGTCTGCCCCAGCAAAAAGAGGAGCATTGGCATGGATGTTAGCTCGGGGCTAATCTTTCTCACAAAAAAATAAATAAATAAATAAAATAAACGGAGATACACCCTAGGCAGCTAGAGATATGGAGCTGGTGCTATAGAAAGGAGTAGGTAGAAAATTAACATTTCAGTATTAGTATATATGAAATAACATTAGTACAGGATAAAAACTAACGAATACTTGCTGTATACTTATGTGCCAGACATAAAGAACATCATGCCCAGGGCTGCCCTACAGCTACCATGAAGCAAAAATTCAAATCAGGCACTTTCAACTCCAATGGAAGAAAATAGATAGAAATCAATTATCATTGCCAATTCTACCACTGGATCACACCCATTGCAGCAAAACTTGACTTCATATTACATTCAGGTTAGAAGTACTCAGGCTTTGTGATGACCCTACTGATAACAGGCTACAGATGTTTCATTTACCGGGTAAGTACAAAAGTCTTTGTTCAGAGTGCATCACTAAGGTCTTTAACTCAGTTTTCAGTTTGTCCAATGTGGTCCAGTTTAATTATGACAGCATTATTATGAGGCTTCTTTTTTCAAGGTTTCCCACAGCCACAGTATTTTTGGTCCCCTAAAAACATGACCAAACCGTAAACCTTCACAAATTAGCTCACCTTATTCATCCATAAACTTGTCCTTCAAGACTACTCAAGTCAACTCCTTAAAGAGTTTTGCCTTTTCATTCAGGCAAGACTGATTCTTTCCATTTTATCAGAGACTTTATTTCTACCACGAAATATTTTATAAGAACATTCCCCTACCAGATTGAGGTTAGGGGAAAGGGGTTGTCCTATATATTTTTAGCTTCAAGTTTAGGTCTTTTTACTTCCTTGAGTAGTAATGCTATATAGCTTTACTCATAATCTTCTTCTTAGATACACTTTAATCATTCATTAAAAGCATTTAGGAATATACCTGGTTATTGTAAATATTTTTCTTATGCTAGTACCTTTTATTTTGCTAAATACAGACACTTAGGGACTATTACTTAGTACATCTTTTTTAACTGCGTGTAATCTACAACACTCTCTACCCTCGTTTAAACAGCCATATGGTTCAATGTGGCTGGAAAAAAAAACTGCAATGTTTACTGGTCACTCTTAGTGACTACAAACTTGGCTCTAATGCTACCTGGATTCATCCCTTCTGATACTACAATGAACTTCAAGGTTCCTATTTAATGTCAAAGCTCCCACCACCATCACCATGGTTCTAGATCCCATTCCCTCACCTACTTGATGATACTTCTCCAACAATTCTTCCCTCCCTCTCTCCAACATCTACTTTCTGTTCTATTGGAGAATGGAGACATGTCAAAGGACACAGCAGCCAACCTCAAAGAACTCCCAATGGCCAAAGCTGGAACAATCTGAGCAATAAAATAAATAACATAGCATTGGATTATGACCTTAAGTATAAAATAAATATGCATGAGACCATAGATATAAACAACCAGTAGATAAATCTTTCTTACAGAATTCCACATATGAGCAGATAGCCCTCCCCCAGAGGAGGTGGAGTGTAACTGCCCCCATCTCTACTCTGAAGGTGGGCTATAATTTGTAACTTGTTTCCAAAGAATGCAGTAGGTCAAGGAAAAACTAACTAAAGTGGAGAATTCAAGGAATTTTTACCTCAACCAAGTGACGAAAGTTAATATCCCCAGTGATGCCATATGGATATCATGTACCCCTGATATGATGTAATGGGAAAGGCACTTCTCCTCTGTGGTATTCTTTCCAAAAACCCATAACCCTAGTCTAATCACAAGAAAAACCACAAACTCAGAATGGGGGACATTCTACAGGATACCTGGCCAGTACTCATCAAGACTGTCAGTCATCAAAAGCAAGGAAAGAATGAAAAAACTGTCAGAGGAGATTGGAGAGATGTAACAACTACGTGCAATGTGAATTAGACCCTGGAACGTTAATGGAAAAATGGTGAAATTCAAATAAAACCTGGATTGTAATTAATAATAATATACCAATATTGGTTTCTTAGTCTTAATACAAGTATATGGTAACATGTTAACAATGGCAAAAACTGGGTGGGGGTATATGGGAACTCTCTGTATAATTTTTGAAATCGAAATCTTTTCTGTAAATCTAAAGTCATTCCAAACTAGTATGTCTGCCTATGTACCTACCTATAAATGACTGAAATTAACACCTTCTTACCAAATCACTAGACAAAAAAACATCTGACCATTCTGGCTTAACATTTATCTTCCAAACAGGTTATTATAATAATAATTATATAATAATATTATTATTATTAGAGCTAATAACAAGCCATTATTAGAGCTAACACTGAAATTTGCCATCAGACTTGGGGGGGTGAATCCCCATTTAGCCACTACTGTGGCTCCCTTGGGCAAGTTTTTAATTTCCTTATGCTGTAACCTTCTCTTTGTAAAACAGGGGATATACAATAGTATGTAAAGGTGACAGGGAGAATTAGTTAAGATAATGCCTGTAAATCACTTATTATATACCTTAAACTTTTAATCAAAACTGTCCACACTTTATTTTCCAGAAATAATACAATTTCCAGTTCAGGAAAGATACAAGGTAATTCTTATTTTAAAAACATCTAACAATTACGTCAAAAACTGGGGGCAGAGTGGAGAAATTCCCTACCTGCTTACCAACATCTACAACAGTGGCTGTGGATGCTCAATAGCAAGAAGAGGAGATGAGACAGGAAACAAAAACTAGTTTTACCTTCATAACTGTACCTAGAAATGGTCTTGCGTTTAGAGCCTGCTCTGAACTTGGACATTCATTAACAGACACCATTCAATACTGTTTAGATGAAAGAATTCCAAATGGAAACTTAAGAAAACTTAGGGGTTAAAAGGGACAGTTGCTGAGTGGTATAAAGTGACAGTTTCAAGAGTAATTCAGGAAGCATACTATGGTGGGCTATTTTACTACATGAAATACGGTATATAATGTTCTGGTAGAAGTATTCAACTAATGTGGGTATTTTCCATTTTAAAAAAGTCACAAAAATTTTGAGTACCCAAGGTTATAATGATAATGACTTTGGACTGTTTTGAACCAAGCCCTCATATATAAAAATAAAGTAATGTTATATAAAGGGTAAGTGAATATAGAGTTTAAAATGCACAATCAAAAGTAACAAACAAGACTATAAACAGCTTAAAAATGAACATGAAGTCAGAGCTTAAAAATTCTAATTTATTTCTAACAAACACCACTTTATGCTTGACTCACAAGCTTTATTTACATTTGTCTACAGCATCATTTCCTTATGAAATGAACTAGTACAGCTTAGTTAAACCAAATGAAATCATAATCATCTGAATTGTCTGTAAACTACTATTAGCTAAATTTATAACCTTGCATTTGCTTAGTACAGTCAAAGTTTTAAATACAGAAAGCACAAGAATAAACCAACAATAACATGTAGAATCTAGATCATTTGGGCAATTTAGAAGGTGGACTTTCAAGAAGTCTGAGGCACAATTACAACAGAATAAAAGTTCTTGTGCAACCTACAGTAAACGCAGCAAAGAAAATTAAGACATAAAAAACCAAGGGGAAGTTCACTGTAAAAATATTATCAAAATACTTCTACATAAGATATTTGCTTTCATCTTTAGATCAGGTGAAGAGAGAAATCACTCATTTTAAAATCAAAAACAAATATAACTCTGTTTGGTCTGTCTACTAGATACATTAAAACATTTTAATTGTAGTAGACATTAATGTTAAGGGAAAAAAACAAACAAGAAAAAGTCGGTATTTATCCCCATGACAAAAAGTCCCCAAGCACAAGTGTCGATTTCCCTTAATATACTTACCTTGCATTGTCACTGAAGATACTGTTAAGAGAAACCTTTTTGTTTTTAAACCAGAAGACAAAATGCAACTCAAGTGACCAGATTTTAATTTTGAAAAATAAAACAAACTCTGAAAGTATTTTAAGCCATAAGTAATTTTAAGTGAATAGGAACAATTATTTCTGCTTATGTCATGCAGAGAACCAGGCATCCATCTGTTACTCAGAAGAAAATTTTATGCAGTGTGTTTAAAGTTAAACATCTCAAGGCAAATGTTCACTTAAATTCACAATTGTCTCTGTTGGTCTTTCACCCAAAGAGAATCATACTTCAGAAGCTTTCTTCAATTTGTTCTTCATTAACTATGATTTAGCTTTGTCTACCCTAGAGATAACTGGATTTCTAAAAGATATCACACAGAGCACTTCTTAAAATATTAAGGTAAACGTTTTGAAATAAGATGTTTTTCTCATTAGACAACCATATCAGTAGAGAAGAGATGAACTGTTATATATTCTTGCTCAAAATCACATGTCAGAAAGGGAGAAATGACTAACACATTTCTCCTTCTGCAATTCACAAGATTTTTCTGCATTAAATGTGGTGGTGCAAAAAGTAAAACTGGATAAAAGTGAGACAATGATTCTAAGGCACCCTTAGCATAGGGAATTTCAAAATAATTTAAGAAGTCTCCATGTGGCTGTCTTACAACTAGTTTAACTTTATCTAATAAGAATCACTTTGACATAGATTACCTTAAATAGGTTGACTTCTTTTCCAATATTAACATACAGATTGTTTCCAACTACTTTACCACAGCCTTGCCTCCATGCCCAAAATTCAGGCAAGCCCAGGTAATCCTGTCTTAAGTCAACAGACAGTTCATATTTGGAAATGAGAAAACAAAAGTTCAAATTAGGAAACAAAGTACTTTGTTATAGCTGAAATGGTTTTAAATGAAGTAGATGGTTGTAAATAATGAATGATACATAGAGCATCTATTTTGGGACATTATGGCTTAAAATACTATTTACTTTTAATTTCACAAATAAACACAGCTGTATTGTTCTGAAAAGCAATGAAAGGCATGCACCTCTACTAGCAGATTTAGCACTTCTGACCAAGTAAGACACCAAGTTCTTAAAAAATATGCTTCATGCACTGTACTAGATTGTTTTTTAAGATGTAAATTTTAATACATTATTTCTTTTTTGAACTTGAACGGGAACCAGAATGGGATGATCCAGAAGATGACCTGTGGTGCCTGAAAGACATAATGAAGAAAGCAGGTAATCTAGTAAGCTGGAGCTAGATATCAGCATTCCTTCATAAGACTTCAAGAATACAGAAATTAAACCTCATTATGCTGACAAAAGGAATAATTAAAATCTAAGATACAAACGTATACACATAAAATTAACTAGTGTTTAGACCTTGGATGTGAGCCCAGTAACAGTACAAACATAGTTTAAAATTCTCTATAACTTAAAAATAAATCTCATTTTAAGATATAGCCACCTCTCAATTATTTAAGATAATGAAGGGAAGCCTTGCAAAAATGTATAAAATTACAGATAATATACAATAAAGGCACATAAACTTTGTAATGGAAGTGTGACTAAACCAATATCTGTGATACACTGTAGATAGTGTGATATGTCTTTATGTAAAACAGATACAGCAAGGCTTCTGTGTATGAGAATATATATTCATAAATAATTACGTTTTGGAAATCTAGGTCACACAAGATGATTGCACAACTAGTTATAGGGTTATATTCATGCAGCTAATATGAATAAGTCAATATATCAACCTGGGTAAAGTAGTGGTGTTCCGAGGGGTTGGCCCTGGGCTCAAAGTTGTTTAGTGTTTTCACCAATCACCTGGCTTATGGAATAGAGAACATGTTCATTAAGTTTAGATGACAACAAACTAGGGGGATTATATGTGGCTAAGATAAAAATCTGCAGAAGTGGTAAGAAAGGAACAGAATGAGTTTCACTCAAGTACAGAGTAATTTTCTTACAAAGGAATAAAATGCACAACAACAAGACTAGGTGTGTGTAACCTTAATATCTAAACTTCAAAACGTGAAGAAGCAAAACTAATCATTCTGTACAAGTAGGATTCATGAGGTAATCCTACCACCGAACCCAGCAATAATCAGACTTTACCTAATCCTTACTTTCACAGGCTGAAAGGACATGGAAAATTTGCAAAGATTACAAAGGAAGCCATTAAAATGACTATATAATTATACATTGAGAACCAAGAGAAAATTAATGAAACTGAATAATTAGCCTGTTGCAGAAAAGGCTGACAGATGACACTTACACTCTCTAAATTTTAAAAATGGCAATACAGACAGTTATCTAGTAAAGGTCTTTCTCTAAAAAAAATGGATTCTGACTGCAAGATGAAAATTGTATTAGCTACAAGAACAATTTCCTTATAGATAAAAGGGCATGAAACAATAATTTGCTGTGGAAATTCATTTACACATTTAAATGAGGATAGATTTCCAATGATCTAGAATAATTTTTTTATTAGATGCCCTAGAATTCTATAATTTCTAATACTTAATGTAAAATCAATAGCATAAATACACATAAAAATCAACCACTAAATTACTTCAACATACAGCTTCTGAATTAAAATCTTTAAAGACAGAAATAACCGAGAGTTGGCTATAATAATTATATATGAAAATAAAAATTTAAACAATAAAATGATCAGATAGTGGAAGAAAGTGGTTTGATACACAACTTTTCTAAACAACCCGATCAAAGTACACAGGATAAACAAAGTAATTAATCTGGTTTTTGAAGTTCAAAGTTGAAAAGTATAATTTAAAGTTGGAACAAAGAAGATAATGAAAATCTAATCCTTGACTAGGAAGTTTAGTTAATCTATTAAAACACACTTAAGAACACCCATTCTTATTTCTACAGAAACCCAAACCTTTCGGGTGACCGTGATCTTGTTCGTCTTTTTTTGCGATCACCAGATGAAGAAGATCTAGAACGACTTCTCTTTCTGTTCCTCTCAGGAGAAGATGATGAACTTGAATAAGATCTTTTTCGTGGGGAAGAAGAGCCCCTGTGGGACCTGGAGCTGGATCTTCATTGATTGAGAAACAAATCAAACATTTCATTAAAAGAAGAAATGAGGTAGACTGTTTAGTTAACAGCTCCAAATAAACAAACAGGATTTATAACTATGAAAATTTTATGAGAAGGAATACTTACTGCTTACTCAACAGAAGACTTCTGGTTCAACCATAAAAAAATTCTACTTAATACATTTACTTTAATTTCATCTCTTTTTAATTTTCTAAAATTAAAGTGTTCATCACTTATAATTAAAAACCAGCTTAAAATGTTTAAGTAAAATTTTAAGTTCTTTTTTTTAAATTTTAAGGCTTTCATTTTAAAGTACACATAAATAGCAAAATGAACAGGTAACTGTGCATTTGCATGACTTTCTGTCTAGAAAATACATTCTTGCATTTGGGGAAAAAATATTTATCTTGCATTCAACTTCCTGAGGAAAATATACATAATTCCTTGTGGAAATTATGCAACTCACTATTTAAGTTGCTATAAAAAAAGCAGGGATAAGGGACAGGAATGGGAAAGAACAATAACTTTTAAACTGCTAAATGTTCAAAGAAAAATAAAATGAGTAACTTTAAAACTTGATTTATATTAACAATATTTATTTTCATGAAGGACCACTATTCATGAAGTATGAAGTGTTGACATTCACATGTTTCAGGTAGAGGTAAATGTGCAAACGTTTAAATGCAAAATTTTTTCTTCATTTACATATTTTGAAGTAATTTAGCTCAAACTTCCCAAAAAATTCACCTTTGGGCTTAAAATAACATCAGAAAGCCCAAAAGGAGAATTCTTTGGAAAGTTATAAGCAATGAAAAAAATGTTTGGAAAGAATATGAAGGCTGTTCTGTAAACCTTAATTATAGTGCTTCCCAAAGGGAACTAGGACTTAAAGATCTTCACTAAGAAGCACCCAAATAAAAAGACTAAAACATTGGTAATACATAACAGCAATAAACTCATTCCTCTCTATTTTGTACTGGCTTAATACACAAGTATGCATACGATTCTTTTCTCCTTAATGTCATTAAATTGCAGCTGCCGTCTAATGCTACAGATTTGGCTTTAATATTAATCAATTTTTACCCAAAGAGCTACCACTAATCTTCAGTGACAAGTTCCACACAAGTGGAATTATAATCATTTTCCTATTCATGTTAGATGCCTTTAATATATCAATAAATTAAAAAGAAAGGCAGTATATTTTGACAAAATTTAGAAAAAACTTCAAGAGAATAAAAACTATCTCATTTGCTTCTTTATAAACTATTTTTCCTTCTGTAGGTCTGACTAAATGCAACTTGAAGTTAACAATAATGCTTAAGACCACATCCTACATAGACTCACCAACCATACTTCTTGATTTAGTTTGTGGAATTTAAGAGGAGTATCTGTTCTACACGTACTGTTTATAATATTCTGCGTAATATTACAGAGATGGAAAAATGTATAAAACTTCCACTTTATCTGACATAAATGACAAAATTGTTTCTGTAAATATGGAAATAACTGCCTTGCAAAACAAAATCTATTTTGAAGCAGGATTATTTTTCTTCCTTTTAAAACCAGAGTAAACTTTTTATTTGCATATTTCTAATTTTATTTGTACTACTATTGCAAACAAAATGTACTAGAGATTTGGTGATAAGACTTGGCTCCATCTTCCTACTTCATCACATTTTAGCACAAAAACAACAAACCTTGCATAATGCAAAATAACCACCTTAATTCAATCATGGGAATGTCTTTGGCACACTGCTGGCAATGGAAACATCTCATGGTGAGAAAATTAAGCTGAGGCAAGAGCATTAGTTTTCTAATGCGAAAATAAAATCAACAAGTAGAAGCAAAAAAAGAGGGAAAAAAGCAGCAACGCCTTCTGCAGCCTTTAAATATTTTTTCTCTCTGCTTTACAGAGAGATGCTACCTCATTCACCTTGATTTCGACCCACGAGATCTCGAATGTTCTCTGGAACTGGAACGAGATCTTGACTGCGAACTGGAAGAACTTCTGGAACGGGACCTGGAACAACATGGAAGGATTTTTTTTTCCAGAACCACTTAATTGAGCTTTGTGATATGAACACTGAAAGAAAGAAAATGCATTAGAATTCATTTTCACATAAAAAGAAACTGTTTGAGATATATATTTTCAAAACACAATATTTTCAGGTAACTAAACTTTTTATCATTTTAATATTTATGCCAAAACTTAATAATTTTTGAAAATAATCAGTCATCACTTTCAAAGTTTGACAAATTACTCTAAAAATCACTCAAGATTGTACAAATAAAAACTCAGCATTAACACTTTGTTAACCATGAATACTTTATGTTCACAAATAATATTTAAAACCCAAGACGTACACATCCAGAAATACTGAACGTTGCAATTTATATTTAACTTCTCTGAAATATCTCTATCAATTTCCTTTGTAAAATTCCTTCTATTTCCTTGGTCACTAGCTACTCTGAAGCTTTAAATGTTGACATGTGTATGTTTGTTTAATCTCTGTTTTTCTGTCTACTCAAAAGTTAAGAGAATTAAAGAGAAAATACATTAAAAATCCTCTCATTGTTGTAGGCAATTATATTATTGAAAAAGGACACAAGGGGAGATATGGTCCATTTGAATTTTAAAAATCACAAATGAAATAAAATTCATTTATAGCCTAATTTACATCTTTAATTTGTCCCTTAAAATAATAACCTGCAGAAAAAGAAGATTACATTTTCATCTTAAAATTACTATCTTTATAATCACTCTTTTAAGCTTTCAAGCTTTATAATACTCAATTAACAATTATCTAAGTACTCAATTAGCTAATATTTTATTCCTAAATACTATTAAAATTCATTTCCCACAGTTTCACTTAACTGTGAATAGGAATTCTCCAAGGGAACATTATTTATATAAGGTACTGCTTTTTCCCACCTAAAATTTTATTTTTATTGTTGACTACACAATTAAGAAATATTAAAATTTTACATTACTAACAAAATAATATTCAAGTACAAAACCAATTGAATCCTCTAATTTATTCCTGGACATCTCAAAATTATGAGTGTTAAGCTAATAGAACTAACATGGCTGAATTTGCTCCTTTATTCAGAATACCCATACCAAAGTAAATTATCAAAATATTGTGTAAAAATCAATGATTTAATTAATGCCTAGAAAATTTCTATGCTAGCCTTTAATATCATCAGTGAAAATATAAAATCTTCAATTTACTTAAAAATTCCTAAATGTAAAGTATGTATTTAGATAATTAAATATAACTATATGTAATGATTTAATTGAATTTTTAGAGTCTATTTTAATAAAAGGCAAGGTGCTAAAATGGACTATAGAAGTTTCATATTAAAATTCTGCATTTCTGAAAATACTGGACAATAACTTCACAGCACTGAGAGAGAAAAAATTATCCTTTAAAAGGTGACTTGAATGAAATCTCAAAAACAAAAAGGAAAGCTTATTCAGTCAAGAAAAACAAAATTTATAAATAAAGAAGTTAGATACTGACATTTTGACTGGTGTTACCCTTGACCTGTACCCGTTTACCTGGACCTAGACCTTGAACTTGAGGGGGAGGATGAGCGTGATGAAGATCGTGAATGTGAAGATCGAGACTTTGAGCGACTTCGTCTATTAGATTTCTTTTTATTACTATCTTCTTCCTCGCTGGCATCAAGATTATATTTTGAGAGATCTGCATCATCTTCATCCTCATCCTAATAAAATTCAGAGTCAATTATACTTTATATTTACACATTTAGATATTAATGCTATCTACTAGGAATGATGAATAGCTCTGTGTACTGGACATCTCCATATGAATATATGGTGTCACTAATATATCAGCAAATTCATTCTCAATCCTGAAATCTGCCTACTACATTCCTCATCTCAACTCAACAGACTTGATGACTATCTCAGACATTTCAAAGAAAATCTAGAAGTCATACTCATTTCCTCTTTTTCTGTCACAATGCATTACCAAATAAGCTGGTAAGAATTTTCAGTTTTACTCCCTTAAAAGTCCTTGAATACATCTCCCTTAGTCTTAGTTCAGAACTTCATTCTTTTCTCTACTTTATCACTGTAACCTTTTAGGGGGTCTCGCTAACTCTGGAAATCTGTTCTGTCTCGCCAATGTCTCAATATATTGACAATCACTCTGAAACACAGATCAGATAAACATACCTCATTTGTTTCTTAAAAACTTTAAAAATTGTTCCACATTGACTTGTTTATAGTTGGATTCAAGGGCCTATTTTTATCAGACTCCAAAATACCCTGAATCTGGATCTGTACATCCGACCATAAAACTTTACACTCGGGCCCCACAGAATGAATGTCAACAGACCTAATGTGGTTGCTGTCCCCGTCATCATGGTCTCCCCTCTGCTCTAACCACACTAGCCTATGTATGATTTTTTGAACGTTGCTGGCTTCTTTCCTACTTAGGGAACATTTATTAGCTGTTCTCTCTGCCTGAAAGTGCTCTGGCCCCAGCTCCTATAGCCAGTTCCTTCATATCATTCTATTATTCAAATCTCAGCTCAAATTTCACCTCCTCAGAAATCTCCCACCCATTGAAACCAAAGTACTTTCAATATCTGTTGTCACATCACGTGTTGTCACAACATTACATTGTCACATCATGTGCCTTCATAACATTATGGCTATCTAAATTATTTTGTTCATTTATGTCTTTTCCCCCTCTAAAACTTAAGTTCCATTAAGAGAAGGGCGGTTCTGTCTCAGTCATTACTGTATCTCCAGAGCCAGAACAGTGCTTGGCAGAGTGGAAGCTCAACACTTTTGTGAGAACGAATAGTACACGGGAGACCTTATCTTCAGCACAGGCCAAAAGTCATCAAAAACATTCATATGTATGTCATAGCTCAAATAAGACAAAGGAGAAATAGGACAAAAATCGTTTACCTCATCTAATTTATATTTAGAAAGATCTTCATCCTCATCCTCATCTTCTCCCTCAGATTCTTTATCTTCAACTTCCTTTAAAATAGATGCAGGACCAACTGCCTTCCCTCTGTATTTTTTCTTTTTACGTCCAAACTAAAGAAAAAGTTTCATAATATTTCTGTCAGCTGAAAATGTATTAAAATTAATAATTTTTCTAAGAAATTACTTTTATATATTTAAGTTAATATATATTTTTAAGTCAATTATATATTTGAGTCAATTATGATTTCCTACAAAATGATAAGCTGCTGTACAAGACTCAAGGTGTACTTACAAAAATAAGATACATTTAGTATTCTTCCTTTTCATTTAACATATTGTCTAACATGTTTTTCTAATTTGTATTCAACCTGCACACTAATGTATAGTTTACCTCATCATATTCACCATCAGATTCTTCTCTTTCTATATATTCAACATTTTCTCTTTCATTAAAACCACCACCATATCCTAAAAAAAGAGGGGCATAAATTATTGTATGACAATTCATTAAGGTAACAAAGCTAACACCTCCAAGCAACAGAGAAAAAGAAAATCTTATCAACAACACTTTCCTATCCATCTAATAAATTACTAGTCTTTAAAAAAGAATATTAAAAATAAAAATCACTACAGAAACAGTGTCAAAGTTAGATACCTTAGCTGGAAAAGACCTGCGGCTACACTTCTAACTGTTCTCAATTTCAAAATGTCCTGCATGACTTAGGCAATACATGGAATATATGGGTGGAAAACATCTCCTCAAACCTCTGCTATAATCAAGTGTTCAAAGGACTTTCCTCTATAGTTTATCATAATTCTTCTGGGAGGAGTGGGCTCAGTAAGAATCAAATTTTACTGTTTACCAGTTGCAGACAGTCTGAAATCTTTTGATATACTGAAATTTTGCTAGGCTAACTTGTAGCTAGAGCTTGAAAAACTCCTTATATAGGCAAATATAATGACATCATAAAGGACATCTAAACTAGTTTTAATGCAACTGTTTTCAATAAATAGTTAAAAGTCACTCAGGTTCTCTGAAGTAGCCAGTAAACTTTTAAATTGAAAATATTCTATTAAAAAGTAATCAAGATCAGCAAACCATCATTCTTTGATATCACAACTAATACCTACAATTAGACTGACAGGTCTTTGATATAGGCTTAACGAAGATTGGAATAAAAAAGTGTGTTTTAGAGAAAGTAAAATGAGAGATTTTGAATAAATCTCCCATTGAAAAAATGAGAGAGAGGTATGTGGCCAAAAGTAACACAATCTAACTACCTCACACATTCTCGAGCAGTACTAATACATAAGGGCAGTGATTCCCAGATTTAAGGATTTCATGAACCAGCAAAACGTTAAATAACTTTATAAACTAGTAAGTATTTTCAGAAAATTTAGGATTTGTGACTTTAAATCTGTCAGTCACAGGTATTATAAAAATGATCCCTTACCCTATAATTTCCTAAGAGTCACAAACGGTAAAAAGCATATAACTGTCCCAATAAAATAACAAATTTAGCTTTCTTAAGAAAAAAAAATCACATTAATATAATAGCCTTTCTTTTCTTTATTACACTTTGTACAGTGAAAACTGCAATGTACCAGTGTTTATCCTTGGACTACTTGCATATCATCCTTTTCCTCCTCCTCCTATCTTGTTTCAGAGACAATATGGACTCCAATTGTAATATACAAGAATTTCCTTTTGTTTATGTGCATTTCATATACAGTGAAGAGTATATTAAATACCAATAACAACTTTTCCTTAGCCAGCCCTGGTGGTCTAGTGGTTAAGATTCGGTGCTCTCACTGCTGTGGTCTGGACTCATTTCCTGGTCAGGGAACCATATCACCGTCTGTCAGCTGTCATACTGTAGCGGCAGCCTGTTACTGTGATGCTGAAAGCTATGCCACTGGTATTTCAAACATCAGAAGGGTCATGGTCACTCATGGTGGACAGGTTTCATTGGAGCTTCCAGACTAAGACAGCCTAGGAAGGACCTGGCCACCCACTTCCGAAAAAATTGGCCATGGGAAAAAACTATGAATAGCAGCAGAGCACTGTCTGGAAGGTAAGAAAATAGTGCAAAAAGACCAGGCAGGGTTCTGCTCTGCTGTACACAGGGTCACTAGGAGTCGGAATCAACTTGATGACACTAACAAAAACAACTTTTCCTTAGTAAAATCTTGGCTCTATTTTTGCAGAGAATATCAAATATAAAAGACAGAAACAAGGGGCCGGCCCAGTGGTGCAAGCGGTTAAGTGCGTGTGCTCCGCTGCGGCGGCCTGGGGATCGCAGATTCGGATCCCAGGCGCGCAACAACGCACCGGTTGTCAAGTCATGCTGTGGCAGCATCCCATATAAAGTAGAGGAAGATGGGCATAGATGTTAGCCCAGGGCCAGTCTTCCTCAGCAAGAAAAAAATAAATAAATAAAAAGAGGAGGATTGGCAGATGTTAGCTCAGGGCCGATCTTCCTCACAAAAAAAAAAAAGATAGAAACAAGTACAACTAGAAATATGTTCACCTCAAGAAAATAGCTCATATTCAAAGTTAATTTCTATTACAAACACTGTGGACAGTTATAATTCAACAATAGTTTCTTATCTCGATATATTTAACATTATATCAGTAAGTCCTGAGATAAAGCTATGAGTAGTTTGATAAACAACAACAAATTTTAAGAGATGACTCAGTAAAGATCTAAACTTCAAAATACTTAGTAGGTTAAAAATCCATGGGATCTAGATGGAAAATAATTCAGCAGAGTTCTTTACTCACATTTAGTAATCTACAGCTAAAAAATGATATGGCAAATACAGAGAGCTAAAAAATAAATTATAGCAAGATTTAGAAAGTGAATTATAACTCATACAGGCAATTCTGCATAGTTACATAAGTAAAATTACTCTAAAATGAGCATCATAGCAAATACAAAGCTGTTTTCATGTTCTCTCATACAGGCCACAGAGAAAGAACCTAAATAATCTGTTGACAACAAAGAGATTATTAAGGTATGTTATATAAACCCATGACACAAATCCACCTCATGAACTCTCTCCCTATACATGGGAAAATACAGTAGCGCTCTCTCACAGAAAACCTCGAGCATATCATTTCCACTGAATAAAGGTGAGTTAGAGGAATCACTGGCATGGTCTATGGGTGTTTCCTTCATTCTGTTGGTTTGAAGGTCTCCCTGCTTCCACTCTTGCCACTCTTCCCCCTAATTCTTTTACTACCAACCAGCAACGTTTAAAGAAAATTAGGTGGGTCACTCCCTTGTTGTAAATCTTTCAGATACTTCCCATTATATGCAGAATAAAATATCAACTCCTTACTAAGAATGACATGGCCCTTGCCTACTTCTGAGGTGTTTTCTGGAGCTAACCAGTTCATCCAATAAGCTCAATTCTTCCAAGCCTCAGGGCCTTCACACAAGCCGTTTGCCCCTGCTTGGAATGAACTTTCAACTTGTTACCCAGGCAACTCATTTTTCACTTTTTAGCTTAAACACTGCTTTCTCAAAGACGAGGTCATTAATCTTTGACTCTACATGTCTGTTTTGCTCCCCCAAGCATCCCCAACATCTTGCACAATGGCCAATAAATACTGCTTCAGTGAATGAGTACAGAAACCACAATTCTGGTACCATTTAAAGAATCTGAGTTTTTTTAAGAAGGCTTTAAAATACAGTTTAGATCAAACAAGTGACTGAGAACTTCTATAGGCTTTTAGCAAGTGTTACAATAAAAATATTTTCAAATTTGTCTTACAGGAAAATATGAAAAGGTGAGCAGAAGCCAGTAAAGCATCAAACACCGGTTTATAACAGGCCTGAAGCAGCATTGTGACAATGGAAATGAAGAGAGAAAAGGGGATGAATATAACACGTACTTCAAAGGAAGAACTAAGACACTAACTTGAAAATTCTATGATTCTATATTTTAAACAATTAATTAATACAACTTTTGAGAATCTAGTCTAAAGAAATAATTCAAAAGAATAAAAATCACAATGTATTAAGCCTGTTTCTACTGCAGCTATCCTTAATGGTTAAAAAAACAAAAACAAAAATAGAAATAACTCCAAAATCCAAAAATGGGAGAAGGGCTAAGTAAATTATTGCACAATCATTTGATGGGATTATGCAGAAGTCAGCAATCTTTCAGAAGTAGTCCACCAGGTTTTCTTTTATTTACAGCCTGTCCCACGCTTAGCAAATTCTCCCCTGAACCTTGGAACTTCCTTATTACAAACAGTAAAGAGAAACTGGAGAGTAACAAGTGTACATTAGTTCACACCTTCAACTGTGACCAACAAAGGAACTACTTATAGCCAGGGAAGTGGGAAAGGGTCAAGATACCAGAATGATAGGAAAAAAGACAATGAGTAAAGGAAAGTGAGAAGGTGTCAAACAAACTTTGAGGACTTCAGTTGTTAGACTATAGCTCGTGTGACAGTGACTTTCGTTAAAGGAAGAGTCACAAAATAGGCCTAACAGAACGTACATAAATAAAAGGCTTTTGGGATTACAATTTTTAAAATTGTTAAAGATTTTGGACTTTATCCTAAAAGCAATCCAAATGGTTTCAAACAAATGGAGTTTTTAATTTTGAAAAAACAAAACAAAAATTCTCTGGCTGCAACTGGGCAGGAGGGGAATATGTGCAGACACCAACTAAGTGGCGTTTTTTCCAAGACAAGATATAGCAGCGTCTCCGCCTAAGCCTGATGGAAAAGACTTTTGAGGGGTAAAGGAGAGATGAAGGGGTTACTAAGGACATCCAGGTTTCTGGCTTACGTAACAAGCATATGGCAGGCAGTACTAATCATGAGAAAGAGATTACTAGAAGAGGGCCAGGTCCTGGGGGAAAATCATGAGTTTAGTTTGAATATAATGAGTTTGACATTTATATGGTGATGTTGAATAGGCAGCTGGATATATGGGTCAGGGAGTCTGAGCTAAAGACATAAATTTGGGTAACATGGCGTGCCAATGGTTACTTAAAACTTAGGCTTGGGAGGACTGGCCCAGTGATGGAGTGGTTGAGTTCGCGTGCTCCGCTTTGGTGGCTCGGGGTTCGCGGGTTTGGATCCTGGGTGCGGACCTTCACACTGCTTATCAAGCCATGCTATGGCAGGCGTCCTACATTTAAAGTAGAGGAACATGGGCACAGATGTTAGCCGAGGGCCAATCTTCCTCAGCAAAAAGAGGAGTATTGGCAACAGATGTTAGCTCAGGGCTAATCTTCCTCACCAAAAACAAAACAAAACAACTTAGGCCTTGGAAGAAAACGCCTAGAAAATATAAAGGAAAGAAAGAGAGCTTAGGGATTGGACCTTGAAGAACCCTAACATTCTGTGGCCAGGTAGAAAAGGATGAAACTAAAAAGGAGACAGAATGAACAAACAGAGGAGCAGGGGGAACAAAAAGATCAAAAAACAGGGGAAAAAAATGTATTACAAGATGAGTGAAGGAAAAAAGGAGACTCTTATTAGAAGGCCTTAATCTACTAGAGCAGTACAAAGGCAGGATCACTTCCTGAGAATGAGAAGAGAGGAGCAGGATTTGAGGATTGAAAAAGAAAAAATATCGAGGACATTAGGCTATAATGTTCTCATATGTGGGAATATAAATTTTAAAAAAAGAGGGGGGAAGTAGGATAAAACTAGAATTTCTGTTGCAGTCTGGAAGGGCTAGGTCTAAAAGACTCTTGAGTGGGTCTCTTATCCCCAGAATCTAGACAGACAGTAGAAATGGTCTAAAGTCACGGAGGAAAAGAAACGGGACATAGTTTACCAAGCCTAGGTCTGACAAAGTGACTATATACAGAAAGAAGGCTTTGATTATATGATCTATGAGTCACTGAATGGTAAAATCAAATTTGAAGTGTACTAATAATGTGGTTTGGCTAACTGCTGACAATAGGAAAACTATATTCTATTAGGTAAATATTTTCATCTCACCACTGATAACACAGAGGCAACGGCAAGCTATTATTTAGGCCAACGGTTACCAAACACCAATGAACCACCTGCAGATTTCTGGAACCCACCCTCTAAGAGCTTCAATAGAGTGCTGTTTTTGGAATCTGTATTTTTAAAGTCTCTGAAATGATTCTAATGCATAGCCAAGTTTGAGAATTACTGCCTAAGATTTAGATGAATACTTTGGTGCCTCTCTCTGCCTTTTTTTTGTCATACTATGATATCAAACGAACAAAAAAATGGTATTACTCTATTATTACTAATAACCAACATCTAGACTAGTGGAAGAAAAGGCAGGGGAATAAAGCATTTCTGAAAGTATCCTAACGTCACTATTTGTTAGAATAGGGCTCTCTAATGCTGCACTTTGTAAATTGTGAAATTACGAAACAAAAGATGACTTTTTAGGGTATGAGGGAAAAAAATCAAGGCAAAAAACATAAGAGTAAAATAGACAGAATCCTCAATTACCGTGCTCTTACGAGAAGGTGATATAATTATTGATTCAATTTTTAGTTCTTTTAAAATCATTTAGTTAGCATTTGACTGTATCTTACCTGTCCTTTCTTCTAACTTAGCATACTTTGGAGTATTACACATGTTACACTCTGATCTTCTGGCCCAGTTCACGTTACTGCAACTTTAGAAGTGAAAAATATCAAATTAATAGACTATAAGATAACTCAAGAAAAATAGTATATTTTTAGACATTCTAGAATTATAAGATAAAAACTACCACAAAGAAATGTTTACTAAGGATACTGCAAACAAAGAAAACATACCAGTGTATGTTTTCTAAAGAGAGAATGTATGTTCCAATGATAGACTGAACTACTTAAGCAGAGAAGCAAAAGCTATATAGTATGAAGATCGTCTTTGTCACTTTGTGAGACATATGTGACAAATTATATCTACAGAGATTCTGATGCCTTAGGGGAGAAAAATAACATTTTAAATCAAAGGTTCTACTGATTTCTCAGTCTCCACATCCACCACAAAGAAGAGTGGTTATATCCTCCAAATAATGTTAATTTTTTCTGTTTTTTTGAGGAATCAGTTCAGACACTGAATTCCATAGCATACCACAAATCCAGTGACTTAATCTGTTGCTGGAAAATTCTCCAATACAAATTTAATATCTATAGAATCAGAAATTTATGTAAGAACCTCTTGTGAGTCAATCTTCTTTCATATATACTTGATTCATCTGCATAACAGAAAACATGGAAGTTGAAAAGAATCAACAGAGAACTTGAAAATCAAAAATATTAAGAAACCTATCCAATTAGGAATAATTATTTATGGCACGCAACTTATGAATCTAAAATGACTTTGTAAATAGGCCAACTAAATTTTGTCGTGTATTTCGCACTAATGATAGAGGCTAAAAGTTTCTGAGATTTTTCTACACTTAAAAGTAAAAGTAGGCTTTAGTGCTTTTAAATACTCTTCCCTCATTTTTTTGGGATGTTAGCTCACCTTAAGCACTTGTTTACTGGTATACATAACCCATCATAGCCACAACTACTATTACCATTAAAGTTCTTAATACTTATATATCAAATACAGACTGAGTAACAATCAAAAGACCTTTGATTTAAAAGGTTACCTTGGCTTGTCACTGTGACCAATAAGAGTTGGTAACATTAACAAGTAGTGGCTAGATATATTATTAGGGAAGAAAGAGTGCACGATAATTTGAAACACATACGTTTTACACTGCCAGTCATTAGCACTAAATAGGCCTCGGCTCTTTTCTGCAAGTGTCTTTCCTATTTCAGTGCCCCCAGCTTTCATCATCTTAGCCTCAGTTGTTTTCTCTGAAAATAGAAAATAATGCAATATGAATCTGGGGAAATAAAGGAATGATCTGTTTATACAGTCTTAACAGAAGTTTCCTTAAAGGCTTACCCCGTCCACATCTATTACAGCTGGTTCTTCTAGCAAAGTTTACATTTCCACATCTGAAAATAAAGTAAAAAAAAATTTATAGATATCTTTTAAATCATATAATTTTAAAAATTCTATATATACCACTTTTTAATGTGTCCTCACTATATACTTGGATCCAAAACTTATACTACCATTTCAGTCACGTTAATGCCAAAGTTAAATCCTCACAATTTAGATGGAAAAAATTTACGATTTGAAGCAACAAGTCCAGGATAAGAAACTCCAATCCTTCACTTACTAGTTATGTGATCCTGGTAAGTCACTGAGGATCTTTGTGCCTCATCATCCTCATATTACTACATATCATTAATTATAATGAACCCCCCTGTAAAGCTGAAGTGAGATTTGACTCCACTTCAAAAATTACTGATGAGGCACTGGAGAGTTCAAGGAAACTTCAAACTCCCAGTACGGAAAATAAGAAGATATATACAAAAATGTGTTAAGTATTATAAGAAATACAAAATCCTAAGGGTGGACCAACAGGAAGAAAATGGATAAATCTGAGAGGGCTTCATGGATCTTGGTAAAACGCTCTTTTCACAACTAGGACGTGGAATGAATGGTAAGGAAAGAAGGAAGATAGGTTGTACTGACTAAAAATATAAATAGTGTCAATAATGACAAGGAAACTGAGTTTTGGGGGGTATTAATCAAACCTCTGAAGGCTAGGTGAAAAAAATTATAAGCGAAACCAATAATCTCAATACACAGAGTAACACAGTAACACTTCATGCTTATATTCAGCAAACAATTAAAAACAAAAAATTATTGGGTACACTAACATGGTCTTAACAGTTAAATGCTTTGAATAACATGTAAAGCTTAAATTCTAAAAAGCTGATTACCTTTTTTTTTAGGTGTTATACTAGCATGAAATAAAGATGTGAAGTATGGAATGGACACTAAACTGAAGTACTCCAAATAATTTTTAGGTTGTTTTTCCCCCTAAAGAATATCCTTTATGACCCCAATAAACATTAAAAATACATTCCAAAGATGTTTTCTGGATTTATACACATTGTACAAATAATATTCTATTCCTGTATTTGTAACTGAGTTGCAATGCACTCTCTTAGAGACCTACCTCAAATATTTGGGTGTGTCGTGTGTCGTCATTAATGACACAGTCAAAAACACATTATTCTACAAGTGACCAACAACACAAAAGTCAGAAGTTGTTCTAACCTTTCCAATGTTTTCAATAGTCTTTGATCACTCAGAGCAATGCTATTCAGAGCAGAGACTTTTGTTCTATTCAATACTGTCTACTCTGGACCCTTCAGGTCATCTTAAGCTTTATGCAATTGATGGCTGTCAATTTTCACTATGTGAAAAAACAGGACAATGTTTCATTTAAACTGCTTAAAATGTAAATAGAAGACACATGCTAAGGAAATAACATTATCTATGCTATTTCATGTATTCATCGTAAGAGAGCTACCCTAACCCAGTCTTCTAGCAAAGTTAAATCATCTACAGTTACATAGTTACACAGTCTATAAGCAATAGGACTGGAATCCCACCCAGGTTTGTCTGCCTCAAAGTTCTTCCTGTTTACCACCGTGGAGCCTATAGGATATCCACGGCTAGCTCAGGGACAAGAAATCAATCGTCTTCACTGGAACATGAGTAGTGCATTCCATTTTCTTGACAATTACCTTCCACAGCAATTTCCATATATTTCCAAACAGGTACACCTACGTGAGCACCCTTCAATAAAACCTCACAAACAATTTAATAGAGCTCACTGGCTCCAGCAATAATGTCAAAAGGCAGAGCCATTAAGACACGTGCTCCTCCGCTGCAGGCATCCCCGGGGCTGGGCAGGCGAAGACATAGGCCTCTTGCCTTTGCGCTCTCACGAGGCGAAAGGTTCGATTCTCGCGGGGAAATTCAAGATCAGTCAAGACAAAATGTCGCAATTTCCCAAACCAAAGAAGGGTAGCGTTTGGAAAAAAAAGCATAAACGGTATAGAGAAAAGTGTGAGATAGAAAAACAAAAATAAAGGAAAAAAAAAACCAACGTGGACTAGGAGAAGCAAAAGGTTCGAGAAAGCAACGCATTCCGCGAACAAGAGTGAAGTTCTGCGGGGGAAAGTCACGGGGGGAGACCCGACAGCGAGCGGCCTCGGCGCCGCCGATTCCCTTATCGCCGAAACCCGCCCCAGGCGGGGTGTGGGGCAGAGGGCAGGCCCTCTGGCTCTCCAAAAGAGGGGCTGTCCGGGACAAAGAATGTCGAGGAGACGCTGGACACACATTCAAAACAAACGCTCCCGAAAAACCACCGTGAGGAGACGAGGAGCCTCCTTCCCGCCAGGAGCCGGCGGTTCGCCGCCTCCACCCGACGGAAGGCACCGGAGGTCGCGGAAACGGAAAATGCCCAATCGGCCTGAGAAGGCCTCCCTCGGTGAACCCGCCCCCACTCGGGACCCCTCCTGAACTCACTTTTTGTCAGGGCAAATCCAGTCACCGTCACTGACTCGGAAATTCTTGGTCGACATCTTGGACGCAGCCACCACAGCCACCCGCAGCTACGTCTTCACAGGAGGAAGCGGGCCGGGGACTTTCGGCAATCGGGGCTGTCCCCACGCCGCCTGACTCCTACTCACCACTGCGTCAGGCTTTGATGATGAGGCCACTCGGCCTGCTTTGAGTGTGAACGTTATTGTCCACGGTAGATGGCTGTGCGATTTTTTTCTGGCCGAAAAAGTGATAATGCAAATGTGTCTTCTAGAGCTAAACTAACAGGCGCCGCAGGGACAGCCCGGGCGGGAGGACTTCGTGGCACTAGAAGCCTCGGAGAGCCCCCTACAGGCCGGAGGACCCGAAAGGAAAGGACTTCCGCTCGGGTGGGCGGAGCTAGGGAGGCAGAGGAGGAAGTGACCGTCATCAGTTTGCGGCTTGGAATGGCGGCTATTTCAACCTACGCTTGGGGGATGAGGTACCGTGGGCTGTTCAAGTTTTTGGAGAAGTTCTTTTAATAAAGGACTGAAACCTTTGTTCTTTCATTATGCGCACGGGATATCGTTTAGAAACTTACTGTTATGTGATACATAAATAGATGTAACACGTCTATTGTAACAATGTACTCACGAGAACCGACCAGTAATTTTAGAACTAGGATATTGCCAATATTGTTAAAATTACCTGTATCTTTTCTGATCCTATCCCCTTGCTTTCCTCCAGAGGTAACATTCTGTTGTATTTTGGGTTTATTCCTTTGCTTTTAAAAATTTAGTTTATGTACGTGTGTGTTTAATTTGGTAAACTTGAACTCTACGAGGATAGTTTGTTTTTATGTAACCGTCTGCAACTTTTTTTCCACTCGGTATGCTTCTAAATTCATCCTAGATTGTTGCATATATTTGCATATAGCTGTAGGTCCTTAATTTTACTGCTATATACTGGTAATCCTACTTTGTGTGACAGTGTATCCCTTCTATTTCCCAGGTTTTGTCATTACAGACAACGATGGTATGAACATTCTTATGCATGGATTTGGATACAAAAATGCAAGAACTTTTCTAGAGTACAGCATATACCTAGAGAGAACATTTTCAACTACTTCCTAGTTATAATAACTGCTTTAAAGTCTTTGTCTGATAATTGTCACATCTTGGTCATCTAGGCTTTGGCGCCTGTTGATTTTATTTTTCCTTGAGAGCTGGTCATATTTTTCCAGTTCTTTGCATAGTAATTGTGGTTTTTATCCTGGACATTTTGGATATTATGTTGCATTGTCTTGTTGAAAGCCTTTGGAGAATGTTGATTTTTGTTTTGTGTTTTGTTTTGTTTTGTTCTGTTTTGTTTTGTTTTGTTTTGTTTTAGGAAGCAGTCAGTCCAGTTTGGTTCAGATCACAAGTTCAGTCTCACCTTCTGTGGATGCTGGTTCATGTCAGTTCCATTTTCAAAGGCTGTGTTATGCTGCTTTGAGTCTGTTCTATACATAGCACACTCAGGGATTATTTTGGAACTTGGGGAGTAGTTCACATATCTTTTGCTATGCAGCTTTATGTCTCTCTTGCAGATGCTCAGTTCAGGTATGAGCACAGAACTTATGGGGGTTCATACATAGAATTAGGGGGTCCCCTTCTCCAGCTCTCGTCTTTTTGATACTCCTCTCATGCTCTCTGTTTTGTGGGGTCCCCTTAAGGTTTCTCTTGGAGTTTTAGCTGCCTGCCATACTTAGAGCAGCTGACTAGAGTCCACACTGGGGCAAAGAGGTAAGAGAAAAAATCCGTGGATTCCCTCCATACTCTTCAGACCACAGAGGCCCCCTTTCCCAGTTCCTTGTCTAGAAGACAGGGTTTCTCTTGGGGTTGTAGCTGTCCGAACCCAGGCCCTAACTCTTGGGTCAAAGCCTAGAGGGAAAAAAGGAGAAAAAAAGCAAGGTATTCCCCACAAATGCTGGCTCACAGAAGCCCCTTTTACCCATTCCTCTGGCTAGAAATGTGGAGTTTCTCTGTTTTTGCTACCTGTGCTGCCACCACAGCTTCACTAGGTGCCACTAGGTGTCAAAGGTGAGCTTTGACCTCAGGCCAAAACAGGAAAAACAAACACACAGGTCATTTCTCCAAGCTTTGATTCTCCTCCCCAATCTGTTTTTGTTTACTTTTCAGAGTCCTCAAGTAGTTGCTTTTTGTATTTTGTCCTGAGCTTCTAGTTGTAATCAGTAGGAAAGATAGGCTGTAGTGGTCTTTTTTCATCTTGGCTGGCACTGCAAGTCAAGGAAGTGCACATTGTCACTATGCATCCATCAGAATGATTAAAATGAAAAATTCAGACAATACCAAGTGTTGGAGAGGGTGTGGAGCAATGAGAATTCTTATACACTGCTAGTACTAAGTGTCAATTGATACATTTACTTTGGAAAAAGAAGCTATTATTTCTGAACATATGCTTACCCTATGACGCTGAAATTCCACTCCTAAGTATATTCCCAACAGAAACTCATGTATGTTCACCAAAGACTTGCATAATAATGTTCATCAATGCACTATTTATAATAGCTCCAAACTGGAAGTTCCTAATTGCTTATGAATGGTAGCCTGGATAAACAAATTGTCATATGTTCACACAATGGGATAGTATATACAGCAATGACAATAAACAAATTGCAACTGCATTGAACAGTATGGACGTGACTCACAAATACAACATTGAGTTGAAAAAGCCAGACACAAACTAGCATGTGCTGTATGATTCCATTTATGTGAAATTCAAAAGCAGGCAAAACTAATCCAGGCTAATGGTTACCCTAGGGAGCCAGGAGGAGATAGTGACTGGAAGGGGACATAAGGGGCCTTTTGGGGTCCTGGTAATATTTTTTATCATGATCTGGGTTCTAGTTACACAGATATCTTCACTTTGTAAAAATCCATTAAGCTGCACACTTACGATTTGGGCATTTTTTAAATTTCAATAAGATGTTTAAAAAGTACTTAAACTTACCCATCTCACCGTATCCCACCTATCTGGTCATTCAGTAGATGCTTGCTAAATATTTATACTTCCGGGACAAAGGGAGTGATCACAGACCCTCTTGTGACCTGAGAATGATTGGTACATAGGTACCTTCTGGCCCTAAGGGTGATTGAGGTTTCTTACAGTTGGGATGTTGACTCTGCCATAACTCATATGAAGTCTTATTACAAGGCTATTAAGAAAAGACCCATTCTTAGTTCTGCAGTTAACTGAGAGTTTAAGGTGGCAATGACCCAATCTCTGAGGTTTACATTTCCAGACTCAAGGAAAATTTTTTTAAAGTACAGATAAATCAAGCAGATTTTGTTTTTGCATGTTCAGACACATGCGGGGAAAAATTCTGTTATTCAAAAACAAAGAAAAATAACTTTTTATGAAGTTCTAAATCAAATTCACTGCATGAGTCATAATTGAGATATATTAAAATAACTTTTTGGGTTTACCAGAATTTTTTCTTAATTTTATGGTATATAAATCATTGTGTTAATTATAACTTTACAAGCAACCGCAAAATGTTTGCTCTTGAAATAAGTAGATCTTACTCAAACAGAAGAACAAGGAATTTGAATGAATAAATAAATAAAGTAGTTAGTGAAATTAATACTTGTACCTAAGTAACTCCCTAATTTTAATCTGAGAATTTGTGGGAAGTGAAATTCACTTCTTAGGTCACTAGGACAGCAGTGACCCTAGACAAAATTGTGGCGTATGTGAAGTTGTGGCTGAGTTTTAATGCAAAATGTGCCGTCACTGCAGGATGGAGGGGAGGGTGGCTATAGCCTCCAAAAAGGCACTCAGAATTTGGAAATGTAGTAAAATATCATCATTCGGAATTGAGGTTGGGAGGATTAGCATGCAATTGATTAGATTAGCCATCTGAAAATAGAATTGACTCACTCTAACGTGTAGTTTGTATTTGTGATATTAAGGTAAACATGAATCTCCTAAATCCAAACTATATTCCCGAGGGAATTCTTTTAATAATAGCTACTATTTATTAATCAGTGTATATCTGGTAGTGTGCTAAGAGCTTTACATCCATTATCACATTTAGATTTTCAACAATCTTTAGGAAAGATATTATTAGCTTTGTTTACAGATGAGGAAATCAAGGTTTAGAAAGTTTAAGTATCTTGTGAAAGGCTATAAAGTAACACATATCGTGACTCCCGAGTCAAATTTCTTGGGTTCAAATCCCAGCTCTACTACTTGTTAAACATGTGACCGTAGACAGATTACTTAACTATTTGTATTTTGTTTCTGCATCTAGGAAACAGAGATGATGATAACAGTATCTGTCTTTTAGAATTGCTAAAAGGATTAAGTGAGATTACTCACTTAAGGTGTTTGACAAACAGAACTCGATAAATACTGGTTGTTATTATTCAGTCAAAGGCTCACAGGCAATAGATGCCAGAGCTGGTGAGTAACGTGCAGTTAATGTACCAGAAGTTAACCAGCTGTAGTTAGTACAACTTTTCTGGGAGAATTATATGCCAACAGAAAGATGATTTACAGTCAGTCTAGGATAACAGTGCACACAATATAAGAATACAGTCTTGCAATGGCCAGAAGAGAAGGCTATTTGAGTTCAAGGACTACAACTAACTTTTCAAAGGCAATCTTCCTAGATTAGAGAAGAAATTCAACTTTCCTAACTTGAAAGAAAAATCCCTCGACTACCCATTCTCTTTCTTCTAATTAGATGCTCACCAAACAACGCTCTGATAATTTTCTCTCCTGGGTCCATTTAACCTACCATGGTGAAATACCCAGAATGAATTCTCTGTACAAGTTATTCTTTCTAGATTTAGCTCCTTCCTAGATTGATAAATTGGCATTCTGAGGTGCATATTAGTTTCGTATGGGTCCTTTTAACATACTGATCCCCAAGAGGTTAATTAGCTCTGGTGGAAATGATAAAGTTGAGTTTCTGAACCTACAAAGCTAAGAATCTAGCTTTGGATATTGTATTAGAGCTCCATATCCTTGCAAGTAACAAAAATAAAAATACAATTGGGCCGGCCCCGTGGCATAGGTGATTAAGTACGCATGCTCTGCTTCTGGTGGCCTGGGGTTCACGGGTTCAGATCCCGGGTGTGGACCTACGCACTGCTCATCAAGCCATGCTGTGGCAGGCATCCCACATGAAGTAGAGGAGGATGGGCATGGATGTTAGCCCAGGGACAATCTTCCTCAGCAAAAAAGAGGATTGGCATCAGATGTTAGCTTAGTGCTAATCTTCCTCACACAAAAAAAGAAAAAGAATAAAAGAAAAATACAATGGCTTAAACAACAGAAGATGGGGCGAGTTAATATTAGAAAGAGAAGGTGTTTGATGGAACAGGAAGGCAAGAGTGCAGCACAGATTCAGAAGGAGACTG